CCGTGCACTCCGTCCCCTCCAGCAACGACCAACTGTCTCCTGGAGCCAGTACGGACGAGGTAGTGGGTAATAGACAGGTAGGCACCTTGTCAACAAGCACATCAAGCGCGGCCACACCGGGGATATCAAGCAACAGCCAATCACCTGAGAGAAAGATAACAAAGGAAATAACTCGAGTAATGCATAAGGAAACGGTGACATAAATCTTAAATTAATGGGCATATGAAATTAATTGTTTACAAACGAATCCAAAATAAGTTCACGAGGTCAGAAAGTATACATTACGGAAATGCCATGAACACGAAAACGCCATCGAAATTAACTACAACTGGCTTAAGCGACCAGTGCAAGTTTATAGAATATAGGTAGGCATTTATATGAGAAAGAAAAGCATTAGGACAAAATTGAAAACCCACCACCTGAAATAAAGGGACTTAGCATGCAAGGACGCGGTTAGTAAATCGAATGCAGCGTACCTACAAACGCTACGCCAGCTCTGACTATGTTCTCTGTAGGACCGGTCATCGCGTCGGTGGTGGTTCCGATTGGTCTCGCTCATGGCTCACTAGGCCCTGCCTGACTCAGGCACTCGCGACCGCATGCGCTACAGCAGCATGCTCTCGATGTCGATGGAGTACAACCCATCGGTGCTTGCCGCTTCCGCACTGGCCGCTCCTTGTCTACATGTATGAGGTCTTTTACCCGCACTTCGGATATATATATATTTATTTATATTTATATATATATATGACAGCAAATGTGACATCAGTACAACAGCAAATAGGGGGGAATGAAATAGTATAGTAGAATAAAATTATTTTTATACTCCCTTCATTTCCAGTTTTGTGTTAGGTTTTTTGTTCCGCTAGACATTAAATTGTAGATAATGCGCCTACAGAACACTGGTTCCATTACTATGTTGTGGTCCATTACATCCAATGTTTCTAACCACTGGGAGTCCGAGTCGCGTGGTCCCCAGTCTGGAAAGTAGACCCAAGCGACTGAGGATAAGCTTTAGTTTGCCTTCGTCATGCTCCTTCTCCTCCAACTCATTGCTTGTCCATGGTGTCATATTTTTCTATCGCTTCCGAGCGTGCAAATGACGCTGGACTGGGGAAGACGATAGAATGACACGCATAACCCGTGACCGAGTCAACGCATGCTATGTCAGAGAATAACGTTTTGGAGGTATGGGTTGTTTGTTTCCAGCACTCGATTTTGGAATTCTGTGTTGCTTGAGTGGTGTTGCCACAACAAGCGAACAATCCTAGGCAGACAACGATTGTCAAACACAAAGAATCGCCTCAGGTTTTCCGATGGAATAGGACAGGTCTCACAGCCGTAAAAGAGGATCGCAACGACAGAGGCAATGTAAACGCTGACCTTGAGCATGCGAGTGACGTCATGACGACGTCATAGGTGTCTCAGTTCACTAAATGTACGGCGGGCTTTGGGAGCCAGCTGCCAGCCGCGATGCGACCCCTTAGATAAGTGAGGCAGGGAACTTGTCCCAGAAAGTCACAATCATTGGTGAAGGCGGGCACTGGCATTTGCCCATCCTACAATCTGCCTGGGGTGAAAGACAGACCATACGTAAACAGCTCCACAGCTAGGCGATTCAAAGCGCTCTGCATGGCTTGTAGATGGCCCCTAAGTTCAATTCCGCGACTTTGTCACTTTGGAGTAGCTCAATACTGCAGTTTTGGACACCTTCTATTGTTATTTGCACGACGTCTTCAATGGCAAAATTGAAAAGGAAAGGTGCAATAGAGACTGTTTTGTGCACGCTGCTGGTGACAGAGCCTGCTGTAAGCCCTGACCTTGCCAGACGTGATGGTGAAGTTCATTCAGGATGTTTACGAACTTGTCGGGCACACCTCTCCTTAGTAAACAGTGCAACGATGCAGATCTATCAAAGGAATAAAGTTCTGCTCGGAAGTAAAAAATCACTATGATTATTGGCAGTCGGCGGGCGTGGCGGCGTTCAAGAAATAGAGAAGTGCGATGATTTGATGGATGCAAACTCGGCCTGGAGGAAAACTGACTTGTTGCTCTCGAGGAAAGCTCTCCATGTCCCTGAAAGCCTGCAAAAGAAATAGGATACAAAGATTTTGGCTGCAACAGATATCATTTAACTTCCGCGGTAATTGACACTTAGCAAAACTACTTTTGTGGATCAGGACAATGGTGGATTTCCTCAAAAGTCTGAAATCTTCTCGCCAGTTAAAATCTTCGTGAATAGCGATAGTTTCGCTGGCAGGTACATCCCCGCGATATTCGGAAATAGCCGAGAGTCAGCTATCGGAGCCGGAAGTTTATAACTTTCCGAAGATTGGATTGCGCTTCGGAACTCTGCTTCACTAAGAGAATATGTGGCGACAAGCTCAGCACCATCCTAGGGAAATGGAGGTGACACAGAGAGCCATGCTAGGTAGTTAAATTAAAGAGCAAATTTCTCTGCCCAGCGAACCAAACGCTTGTATAGATTGCTTACTTTCATGAATTTGACTCGCAGATTCTCTGAATGATGATGTGTAGGTTGTGATCGTTGGCATTAATGAAGTTAAATAAAATGCGGAACTTTGCCGCAGATGCAGTGGTTTCTATCTCAGCAGCTCGTTTAGACCACAAGGTTTCATGGTCAGAGGCAAGGCTTGCGTTCAACTGTTGAGAGATATCAACGGGATTCTCTGCGTCCTGAACCGGCGACCACTTAGTTGTTCCGCGGATCTTGCTGAGATCCAGCTTTTGGTTGTACGGCGGGTGAGCCCCATCTGGACAAGACTGCAAATACCATGTCTTGTTTCAAACTTGACCAATATGAATCGACATCCTGAGTAGGGAAGAAGGCGGTTTTCACAAAGACTCTGTTGACACTCCGATTTTACCGTTGTGTCTTTTAAGTTGTAGATGTTTAGTCGGGTTTGTTTGGCCCTAGGTGGGCCACCGAGATGCATGCAGTCTGTTGCACACACAAACGTGTGGCCGGTTTCAAAACAAGTTGACCCAAGTGATCGACATTCGCGTATGCTGACGCGCCAGCTGCGACCTAAGCCATATGTTCAGTTTGAAAGCAGCGATGAGTTGACGATTTAGGACGCAACGCGGCCTAGTGGCTTCCAGGGTGACGGAACCTCGTGCTGGAGAAGAAAAGTGGGTGGTTAGTACATATATTAAGCAGTCTCTCCCATTGTCAAAGCGAATATCAACATGTACTTGCGGTTATCCGAGGTGGCGTTCACGTGACAGCAACCAACCGATACGGTACTTGAAGTACCCTTTCATAACAAGGATGCCTGTTTTTAACATGCTTAGAAGCAGCTCATGAAGATTTTGCTAGAACTGGTCCTCGTCTGTATCCGAGCTGCAATCAGTGGGCGCATAGGCGGAGATCACAAAAAGAGTATGCTCGTCGGTTCAACCTCCGCTGTCCTTGCAAGAGCCACGGAGACTAATGACACAAAATCACCAGCTGTTTGGAATCCAGTTAATGAGCCCAGCCTCGTCTCTAGCACTGAGGGCGGTCGCAGCACCAGCATATCCAGATGCAGAAAGCTCATTATTACCAGAAAGAGAAGATGGAAGCTCGTGTGTAGTTGGAGTGGTGATGAAAGTTGGTAGACTGTGTGGGAATCCTGAAGTCGTGTTTCAGTTAGGTAGTAGGCATCGTTTTCGAAAGTCTCCAGCGTGCGTGCGGGTTCAGCTTGTTGTTCCAACTGCAGTCATGTGCGCAAGCTGGAGGCTACTAGTCTGAACTGCGTTCCTGTTTGCATTATCGAAGATTGCAGACTTGCAAGGCCAGCAGTTTCCTGTCGAGCTTTTTGTTGTTGATTTGACAGATGTTAAGGGGACACATTTATTAACAGAAGTAGGATTGTTCACCGCAGAAGAATCAGATAAGCATGGAAGTGTGTGATACAGGGGAAGGAGAGGTGTCTTGGTGGCGTGGATTTTCAGAGCTGGTATAACAACAGGATAGCGGTCCATCATGAGAGTGAGAGAGAAATAGCGAGCGTAATGGTGTAGCTTCATGAGTTGTCAGTAGGCGAGATACTACCTGGTTGCCTTGGCCGAAGTACGTAGGTTGTCTTAGAGAACCACTGCCCTAAGCCTTTGGACAGGGTCAGTAAGGCGAGCTAAGGGACTTGCACCCTTGGCAGCCGCTAAGTGAGAACGTAGTTCATTTTTTGATGCTGAAATACCATACAAGGGGCCAACACTCCCGAAGTCAGAGGCAAATCCGATGCTCGGATCGTTTGACGTTGTACAATGTCTCCAAGGAAGCCAAGGGACAATGACTTTAGTTAGTAGCGAATCACATCCACCACGTCGTAGTGTAGTTCTTCTTATTATTGTTGCTATTATTATGGGTGGCGTTTCATAGGAATTATGTTTACCAAGCGAAAACGCACTATTTCCTGTTACCTTGCCAGCGAACCTTTCGCCGGAATCGGAAATTCCTGATCCGCTTAAGTGGCACCACGGTGAGTTTGTTCGACAACTCGGTCAATATAGTTGGTGCAATATTAGCCGACCGATTAAAAATGTGGTTTTTATCGTTACGGTGGGAATAGCTTATGTCAAGTAGATATATTAGAAAATCCAGAGTCACCAATGCAATTTTCTACTACGGGGTATTCTTAATTGAGCATCTTGCAACGGTTATACACCATCAAAAACGTTAAACGTTGCCAGCCAACGAGAACTGTCCCAGACTCCTTTCGCTGTTATCATCATTCAACACGTTAGGTAGAGAGAGGAGACCATTCCTCTGTTGTGCCACAATGCATTGTAAACTAGGTGACCTTTAACAACCACATGTAACTTAACGCCACTTTTATTACGCAGCCAGAATGGGACTGTGTTGAGAGGAGAGACTAAGCGAGATGGCGAGGAACAAAGAGTTTCACAAAACAAAAACCGTTACGGTCGGCTGTACGCCATGACAACAGTTACCATCAGCTTAAGGTGTTTATCACTTTGAGACCCCGACTTATGAGATGGTATGAACCGACCGACGCTATTTTCGAAGTTAGTGCCCTTAATCTCACGATGCATGGTGTGTAAAGTAGCAGCTCGTGTTCGATTTCAACCTTACCCACGTTTCCTGTTGGATTGTTTAGGATGGTGTCTTGATGTTGGAGGCAACGGTGAAAGTATCGGACCATCAATTTAACTATCTCTTTCAAATCTATCGACATTAACATTTGTTCGCTTTTATCCAATTTAGATCTACTTTCTACACTTATGTTTATGAGATCCCCCGATATTACGTTTATCACTGAAACTTGGTGCACATCAGAAATTAAGGATTCTCAGCGTAACATCTTAGGCTATAAACTTTTCCGCAAGGATCGCTCACACAAACGTGGTGGTGGCTGTGCCATATACCTTCTAAATAACCCGACTGTAATTCCCGCAGATCAACTTGTGTTAAATGACTTAGAAGATACACTATGGCTAGCGATCCCAACTACTGATCTTCTAGTGGGTTGTATCTATCAGCCGCCCCGAACCACTCAATGTGAAACCCAAAAGCTAATCGCTATGATCAATGCTGCTCCTAGCACTACATACAAATAGAAATTATGTGTGATTTTAAGCTACCACATGTTAACTGGATGCCGCCTACACCTCGAAACACTGCGGGGATTAAGGAAATCATCTCATGTATTCACCTCAATGGTTGGACCCAGCATGTTAGAGAGCCAACCACAACACGGTGCATTGTGATATGGCTATAGATTCACCTAAACGACCAAGTAAAATGTTAACACCTATTCGAAACCTCCATCGTGTGGAATGGAACTTATTTAATGAACTTACCAGTACCATGAATTGGAATACGTCCTTCCTAACTCCCAACCTTAATGTGGCTACAAATGAATTTAGTAAAAATATTGACCTTGGTGTGGATTTACTGGCACCTACCGTATGGAGAAATACCCATGAACGTAGTGGTGAACTCAAGCTTCTGTACAAAGCCACAACCAAACTGAAGAAAGTTAAACCATTATATGGCAGGAGCAACAGCTTCGCAACACTGCTACAAATACACGCGGCTCGACTACACCTATGACATCTAATCCAAACGGCCAAAATTAAGGAAGAAATTCGGGTGCTTAGAAATCCTGAGAAAGTATCTATATTGATGCAACTACTCACAAGAAGGGACCCTAAACCCCATCAGGAAACCGAATCGTTGGCTCTAGACGATGGTTCAATAACGCGCGACGTCTCCTGCATATGCGAGGCTAGCAACTCTAGTTTTGCCTCTTGCTTTGTCCCCAACACTCAGCCGTTTCATTCACCACTTCCAAAATAACGACCGAGCAATACTGCAATATCCCTGTGACGTTGAGAGGTGCAAAGTAACATCACATCCATAAAACCACCAACTCGTCCAGGCCCAGATGGTATCTCCCCAACTGTTATAAAACTCGGAGGAAAAAACCTCGCACTACTGTTAGTAAACATTTTCACACTTTCTCTCACTACCGGCTGCTTTCCATCACAATGGAAGCAATCCATTATATTGCCTAAGCACAAGGGTGACCCAAGAAATAAAGTGTCTAGTTTTCGCACAATAAACTACGCATCTGCTGCTTCCAAAGCCCTAGAGAGGATGGTCAAGAAGCCCATCGTTCATTATCTTACAAGAATGGATCTGTTCAACCCCTCACAACATGGATTACTCTCAAAACACTCCTGCGTTGCCTGCCAGCTACCATTTCCCGATAACGTCACGACCATGATTGACAGATGAATGGCAATCATTATAATTCTGTTGGCCATGCAAATAGCGTTCGACCGCGTGCCGCCCACGCCACTGCTGTGTGTTATAGAGTAATATGGAATTGGAAATCCCCTGTTAAAGTGGTTCGACTCATATTTATGCAGTCAAACCCAAGTAGTTAGCATTGGTCAACAATATTCTACACTGAAAGAAATAAGCTGCGGCGTCTTCCAGCTTGTGTATTCGGACCACTTTATTTCCCAATCTACATGAAAAGCATATGTGGCCCGATCAAATATGGACACTCATTCCTGTTTGTAGATGGTGTCAAACTGGTCTACTCATTTCATCCAGACCAACTACAAATGTGCCTGTAAAACATCTGTGAAGATGTATCCGCACTAAATATAGCTAGTGAATCTTTATTAATGAAGTTCGCCGAAGTGAAATCCCAAGTACTTAGATACAGATTCCGCAGCTCAGAAGGCCACATCACACTTGCCGCAAACGTGATACCAACATCTGACTCAGTTCGGGACTTAGGAATTAGGTACTCCAACTCTTTCAGTTTCTCTGAACATGTGCTTTATCAGGTTGCAAACGCGAGACAGCTATGCGGTTACCTCAACAGAACTGTCTCCCTGTCTGAAATGCCACTTGTCATTACAGCTAAAAGTACGACCGACCCTGGAATAACGTACTATCGTTCACAGCCAATTGAGAAAGAAACACAGAACAGCTCTGGAAATTGTCCAACGATCATTTACCAAGCTGGTCTTTGGACGCTACGCAAACCTGCGTTATTATGATCGCTGTCCGAAACTCCAACTGGATCCTCTTTGGTTGACACTCTTTAAGAACCATCTAGTTCTCTTCTACAACATTATACGCCAACGAATATATGCAGACAGCACCGCACTCGAATTACTGGAGACTGTGGTCTACCTCACACTTAATGACAACTACTTGATACACACAAAGCTTGCAAGTCATAAATCTTGATCGAATTTCTTCATAGTGAGATGTTCTGTTCTGTGGGAAAACAAATCACGCAGCTACGCATGAGTGCAAACTATGTCGAATTGCGAAATTCCATACAGATGTTCCTCAGTATATCAAATATGTTGATCTTCGATTCATAGCAAACTAGGAACATTGACAGAAGCCGGTAAACAAAACACACACGGTCAGAAATTCGCTTACAACTAGCATACCCACTACATGTCATTACCTACAATACCAAATCCTGTGTCTGTGCAGCCTAGGATCCCCTCCCTTCCGTTATCTACTCCTAAGCCCAACAGACCCGAAAATGATGATACAAATATCGGTGAATTTACATAATGGGTGCTCTGGTCTAGGACCCGAGGAAAATAATGTTGATCCGAATTTCTATTATTTAACTTTCATTTACGATTATGATTTATGCTACATAATCCATGAAACCTATTCACTATACAAATGATGGCTTCCGCTTATGGGGTCGCGTACCGTTTATCGGTAAATATACACATTTATTTATTTATTTAGTCGTTGAAGTTCAGTAGCAACGAGCCTCAGTTGGCAGTAAAACCTGTAGCAGGCGGATCGTTGGCTCTACAAGTGACAGGTGTGTGATTATCTGCGTCTTGCTTCTATCCGCGTACACATTCAAACATCATGTTTCCACTTATAGCATATTTACGGTTCTCTTGCACTTGAATTGCGCACAGGTGTGGCTGGATTGACGGTAGTGGATGACGGTGCCGGCGGACAGAAGTTGCATGTGGAAGTGCCGATTGACGCGGAGTACAGTAGCGCAGACTTGCTGGTACCTACCGGTGCGAACCGTATTGTGTTGTCCGGTCGGAAGCAGGTGATTGAAGGTTCTGGCGCCTCGCAGTGTAGTCATTGGAAAGAGTTCAGTCGGACGTACAATGCACCAGAGACGGTGGACCCGTTGTCTGTGAAGTCGGAGCTTCATGGCAGCGTATTGGTTGTGGAGGGATCATTGGTGAAGTTGCCTTGAGTGATGTGTTCGGACTTTGTGGGCTATTCTGCTTATTTCATTTTCCTTAAATAAACCTTACTTTTTGCTTTTCGATTGATTTGTTCTGGGACTTTCGGTTATCGGGTCTCTGAATTACGTTTGACTGTCTGGGGTTTGGGCTTGTGCCTAATCACTTGCTTGTTATTGGGTTGCGTATTTCTTTGGGGTTCGTTGGATAATAACTACGGTCTCTGCACTGATCATTTTCCTCGCCTATTTGATACGTCTATTCTGTCTGTTTTATGCTCCTTCCTTTCCGACTCCCTGCGGTCTCCCACTCGCCGAGATTCCTAACCTACTCAGGTTATTTGTACAATTTCTGGGTGCTGATATCTTGCTCCGGTTAGTGCCCTTCATCTCCTTACGTCTTATGTGCTCCGCAGTTATTTCGTTTCCGTCCTGAGCAGTGCGGTTATTCGACTTACCTCTACAGATATCTTATGATATCGCAGTAGAGCGGCAGTGAGAGAGTGGAACTGTGAGAAGATGGTCAGATTCGGAGGCTTTATAAATTGTATTAACAAGCTGAGTTCTTAGAATCCGCGGTGTCAGTGTGATGATCATCTCTGCCGCTTTATTTTTTGTTGCCCGTCGGAGTTGATCTTCAACCATCGTCGTAATCGTCTTCCAAGCGTCCTCCGGGGATATAGTGCATGCCAAACGCACCAAGTAGTTCGATTGCTTTTAATAAGTGGACCAAGCATTGCAGTTGCTGTTCCGTTTTGCTGCTTCAGCTTATCAGCCTTAGTGTCGGAAGGCGACGAGCGCATTCGTATACCGGTGGCTGATGTTCTGTGAACGTGTACCAGCCAATGTAGTCAGTTGGGGATGAATATCGAAGAGATACGCTACTACAAATTTACTGTACGCTACCAACTTGCGGGTTTTTGGCGGGTTCGATTCTTCCTACTTTTCAGAAAATGCCATATGCTTACTTGTGGTCACTTGTGAAATAGACCATCTATGTGTGACTCCCCTGGCAATATATGACCTTACTGTTCTTAAGAATCCACAATGGGGAGTCGAATAAAATAGTATATGGCTTGCTACATCTGGCTTTGCCGTCTAGACTAAATACTCTAGGGTTTTTAGTGGACAGTATCAGCGTCTGTGTGGTGATCTTAATAAATAAATAAAATAATAAATAAATTTGTATATTTACCGACGGACGGTACACGGCCCCATAAGTGTGAGCACCATAAATGGTGCACCAGATTTACAAGGATCCTAACTACCTATGACAACCATTATTGAAACTCAGCCACAACACGGTATAGCTGACTGGAATGCTGCAGGAAATTTTTCCCATTTCGTGTATCCCGGCAGTGGAACTTATCTTCATATGTCATTACCTCTACTCTTACATTGTCCGAATTCAAGCTTCGACTGGATTGTTGTTGTTATTATTATTATTATTATTATTACTATGTACACACGTGGAAATCGCAGAGTCCACCGTGGCGCGTTAACTCTACCTGATCTCTTCAAGTTTTGGTCGCACACTTTACTTTCAGAAATTGTTGAGCGATTACTTTTTATCCCGGAGAAATTCACTATTCCAATCTTCATATCCCAGCACATCCGTGATAGCCGGTACTTTGTTCTCTATTAGATTGTCTGAGTGAGTCAGATGGCGCACGGCTGAGAACCACTGAGAGTAGGTACATATCATATGGCGATTCGGAATTGCTTATGCAGCATTGGTCAAATGATGCCTCAGATTAGCAGAACAGAAACACCTCCGCTATTGCGCTAGTCCCGGAGATCAACTCGCGGCTATGTCCAGAATTGTCTTTCCAACCAAACGTGTTCATCGTCTTTAGATCACAAACATAGTGAACACTCCGTTCATATGAAGAAATCACGCCTGTGCACTCCCAGATATTTGCTTAACGTGAAGGAGTTCAAGACATTCACAGAACTGCGAAATTTCGGGCAATATGTGCGGATTGGCTGAAAACAACCATGTATAAGCAGGGTGCAATTATTCTGTTTGCATAGAGAAGTGTTTAGCGATAAGCTTCTCGAATTGAAACAAGCTGTGTAGTTAATCAGTGGGTTGCAGTTTGGCCCATTAATTCGGTTGATCGATAGGCAACCATGGTTACGTCAATTGCATACCCGAGCAAGATTGTCTCTTTCGGGACCAGACTTGAACTAGGGTGAGTGGGAATAAATAAATAAATTCGTATATTTACCGATAAGCGGTATACGGTACCGTAAGCGGGAGGTATCATTTTTAAAGTGAGGTTTCATGGTTTATGCAACATAAATTCAGGATAATACGACAAATTTACATAATAGAATATCCGATAATGCATTTACCCTAGAGTCCTAAACTCCCCTAATATATAATATGCACCGATATGTGTACTACAATTTCCAGTTTCTGAGAATCATGAGTAGATAATAATAGGAAGGGGATAATAAGTTGCACGAACGCGGTCAGCAATGGAAGCAGCTGATCTCCTACGGCTTCATTACTCCCAAACCTTCCAGCAGGTAACGAGCCAAAATGTTCTTCATGTTTCTAATACTCCACCATCTGGTTTAGAAAACATCACCTTCACTGCGGAAGCTGTGTTGAAGAAGTTGTTATCCTTGCGTATCCACAGTTCTCCAGGAGCTGTCAAAATCCGGCCAAAGGCTCTACAGGCAGTAGCTAGTGATCTATCAGCAACACTTTCTGTTTTCTATCAGCGATGTCTAGAGGTAAACCGTATTCCATCAGTATGGAAGCAAGGGGTCATCAGTCCTATCCATAAAGGAGGTAGCCGCACTGATCCTGCCAACTACCGTCCAATAACACTACTTCCAGTACTATCCAAAGTGATGGAATCAATCATCGCAGACGTGCTGACGCAATATCTGGAAAGCCACAATTTAATAGCCCAGGAGCAACAAGACTTTCGTCAGAAGCATTCGTGTAATATTGACCTATTAATTGCACGTAATAGCTGGACTGAAGCTGTTGATGATGGATCAGGCGTCGATGTCATCTACCTGGACTTCTAAAAAGTGTTTGATCGTTTAGATCATCGAATTCTTCTTCAGATGCTTTGGAACTACGGCATTGGCGACCCAATCCTGAGTTGGATTAACAATTTTCTACAAGAACGACGGCTAGTGGTGAGAGTCCGAGAATCATTTTCTCATGCAATCGATGTGACGCGTGGAGTACCACGAGGCTCGGTTCTTGGACCTCGTCTATTCTTGGTGTTCATTAACGATTTGTCGAGGTCAATTACTTCCGATTTCCTATTTTTCGCTGATGATATCAAGATATGGCGACGGATAAGAGAACCGGACGACCATGAACGGCTCCAGCTCGATCTTAACACAGTGTCGAACTGGTCAGTTCAAAACGCACTACCGTTCAACGTAGACAAATGTCGCGTTGTACAATTACGCCATAGACATAACTACACCTATATACTTGGGACAAACGGATTGCAGACCAGCTCCCAGGAACGTGATCATTGTGCGCTCCTACAGAGCTACCTCAACTGTTCCAAACAGGCTGAGGTAGCTGCAAAAAGATGCAACCAGCACATCGGCATGCTACGAAGGGCATTCGAGAGATTTGACCCATCAATCTTCCCAATGATGCACAATTCCTTTGTGTGCCCACATTTTGAATACGCTATCCAAGCTTGGCAACCTTGGTTGAAGCACGACCAAGAAGCGATGGAGGCACGATAACGAAGAGGAACGAAGAATGTAAGGGGCCTGCGCTATCACTTTTACCACCGCAGGCTGAAGTTGCTGGGAATTTTCAGCGGACGCTATCGAAGGCTGCGCGGCGATCTCATATTAGCGTATCAGATACTGAGTGACCCCAATCACCTATGCCGCGATTTGCTGAAAGTTGGCCACAACACGCAGCTCAGGCGTAACTGCTTAAAGTTGAAGGAACAATATAGTCGTCTAGAGGGTAGACGTAATTACCTTCCCCTTCAGGTTTGCCAACCCTGGAACGCACTCCCAAACTTCTACCTTGAATGTTTTCGAAAAACGACTAGACGTTGCTCTTAGCTCCCAACATTTTGTTACCTAATCTCCTCTATTTTGGATTACGCCAAGCATGTTTTCAACAGGATTTATGTATCAAATAGACCTAAGTGAGCGACCATATTTTACTTTTCTCACTCTTTACTTCAACAATCACTGCACCCCAGTGTCTTTCTGAACGTTTACGCGCGATATTTTTTTCATTTTACACTGATGTTAAGTATCAAAGTATTCATCTCGGCAGACGTTCGATAGATGACCCAGACATAGTTTGATTTCATCATATTCACCTCAACCATCCTACGGGACTTGTCAAGCACTTGCTTTTATCCCGTGATAAATCATTGTGCATTGTGCATTGAACACAGGATTTGGTTTTGTGTTTAATTATATGAAGTGGGCAAGCTGATTTAAAGCAATTAGCTGCTCATATGTTATGTATATCAGTTCCTGTCAATGTTTGTAGAGGTAGTTGTGAGTCAAAGACCTTCAACATGTTTGATATTTCGCAATTTCGCAATTCAACATAGTTTGCACTCATGCGTATCTGCAGGGTAGTTTGTTCCACAGATCGGTGCATCTCACTAAGCAGAAAATCCATCGAGTTTTATGACCTGCAAGCTTTGTGCATATCAACTAGCTGCCATTACGCGTGAGGAAGACTACAGTCTTCCGTAGTTCAAGTGTGGTGCTGTCTGCGTACATTCGTCCGTTTATAATGATATAGAAGAGAACGTGTTTGTTCTTTAAGCGTCTCAGCCCAAGAGGATCCAGTTGGAGTTTTGCTCAGCTATCATAATAACGCAGGTTTGCGTAGCATCCAAAGACCAGCTTGGTAAATGATCGTTGGACAATTTCCAGAGCTGATCTGTGTTTCTTTCTCAATTGGCTGTGAACGATAGTACGTTATTCCAGGGTCGGTCGTACTTTTAGCTGTAATGACAAGTGGCATTTCAGACAGGGAGACA